ATCTTTCGATTATCATTCGAAGAATGAAGATTGCATTTCTGGTTCCTTTATCAGTCATGAATCCATATTGTTCTTTTGCTATTTCTGGTCTGATCTTGTTTTTCATGCGCATCATAAGAACCTTGAGCAGAATCTTTGTCACATGACTCATGAGACTGATTGTGCGATGAAGTTCACAATGAATGTATGAAGGAAGATTTTTCTCTTCTCACCTCATCACTTTTCAAAAGGTCACATTAAAATACACTTATTTGACGTTAGCAAAGCAGATAGAAAAATATAATTGTGGGTTTACCGTTGAATTTCTGATAGTACATTCATCATTAATAAATGTTTTCAGCCAGACAAGCACATAATCAATTGTTCATTGGGATATATTCTTTCTCGTTACACAATCTACGATAACATCAAGAAGCATGCTAACTCGCGTAAGTTTCTGCGATATACTTCAAAATAAAAAACGGTCTCACACCCACTTTTCTTTCTACACGTATTCCTAAACAACCAATTCTTACTACATCTTTACGCTCAAGAGAGACAGGTCCAGTAAACGTATTTCGTACTCGCACAGAAAAATTCAAAAACACTTTTTTTCCGTGGGTTGTGAGACAATGGAATATACTGCCTGTCGAACTGTAAAACATAATAAAATTAAAAAAATTTCGAATAAAAATTTATGATTTCTTTTTTCCAAACTATAAGTGGCCACGTTTTAAACTCAGTGAGCGTAAATATGATTGCATTCTAAATCAAATGAGAGTCAACTTCTCTCGACTAAATTATGATCTTTTTCAAAAACACTTGAGTATTAGTCGCTTGTGGAAAAATAGAGTCAGTTAAACATTTTCTGTTGGAATGTCCACGTTATCAGCATCAACGATAAGCACTTATTTCTGACTGGTCATCCCTAGCTCCTACTATCTCCTTTACGCTTGCAAAGGTATTATTTTTAGAAAAATTTGATAATCTAGATAATTCACAAATCTGTCAGCTACATTTCTTTATTACTAACTATATAAAAAATATCGAACGTTTTTGAACCCCAAACAATCTCTTAATCTGTCTCCATTATGCCATATTTACCCTCTCCTCTTCAGTTCTCGTTCTTTTTCTTTTCCTTTTCCTGATTTTGCTTTTATTTGTTATACTTCTACCCCCTTATTTTCTTCTTTCTAGTCGTACACTTTCTTATTGTATGTATCAAGCGTGCATGTATTCTGTGTACATGTTTTTGTATCTAATTGTGCTAGAAAATGAATGTGTCTGTGTCAATCTGTCTCTTTCTTTAACTATATAACCGTGTACATTTACAACTTTTTATTTTATAGACGAGTCAAAATGACCTCATGGGTTTTTTTCCTCTTTCTTTTTGTTCTGTTCATATGTCCATCCAGTAGTTGTTTCCTTTTTCCTTCTTCTTCTCTCCATTACATAATATAATAAAGCTTATATCAACTTATATCAAAGACACACAACGATTCTAACTCCTATTTCCCTCCTCGTACGCCTATTTCTTTACTTTTTATTTTTTGTCTTTATTTTGTCTGCACTTGTCTTTTTATGTTGTCCTTGTCACTTGTTTTTATATGTATTTCTTGTCCTGTCCTTTGTCCGCAGTCAATGATGTAAAGATGCAATGGGTTCGCCTCCTTCTCATTATTATACTGATCTTTTCTAACTTTTTCTTTTTTCGTTTTCAATAAAGCTTATAACAACCTACACAGTATAACTGTGATCCAGGTCGATATGTCGAATAAAGGATTATCTCGCGACCAAATACGTACTATCATGCGTAAAGCCGCAGCAATAACGGTACCAATTGAACAGATCTTTGATCCTGTTACGCCCGATATCATCAAAAATGTGTGTTCTGCGTATCAACTTCCATACGAATACATATTTACATTGCGTCTTCCAGCGATAGATCGTCATGTGAATGCATCTCAGGTTATGAGTAACGCTGATATTCCAACCAATGTTAGTTTTTCACAGCTATTATTGGATATCCTGGCTCGAACAAAATCACTAGTTGCTTGGAAATAGAAGAAGCGCTGGATGTAACATCAGACAAATCTCGTATTAACAGCAGTGCCACAATACGAACTGAAAAATACCCATCCGCTCTTGATATAACTGTGGGATGAATTGGTAACTCTAATGCAGTCGTTTGATCTCTACAAGAGAGGCGCTGGGTCTTATGACAGATCGATCATATGCATTCTTTACAATACAAATCATATTGTAAGAAGACAAATCGTCAAGTCTCCATCAGTTGCCATAGTAGATCTCGTATTAAGTATCGGTTCAGGCGGACATCCAGGCGATATATTTGGTTCTGTTGTTGCCGATAGCGAAGGTGATGGCCTTTGGGTCGCTTCTTATTCTGTGCTCCGAAGCCGAATATACCTCTTTCAGCAGAGATTACATTATTAGATGTTAATGAACCAAGTTTGGTTCATTTATTGTATGTCCAACATTTGCTGAATACAGACGAGGATGAATCAAAACGAATAATTTATCAATATTCTGAAGAAGCGTTGGAGATGATAAATGTAAAATGGGATGAATACACATTAATCGTTCTAGAAGCCATCGAATATGATTCATTTTTAACATCGATCTATACTAAAGGAAAGGTTCAAATAAATCGTCTCGCTGGTGCTTTACATAATGCTCGTCTCGCCGGTATGATACTTGAAATAGTTCGTGATCAACGACAAGGATTATCCAATCATGTTTTCAAAAAAGACACCATGGAACGTATAAAGTCAGCAGTGAGAGAATTCAAAAAAAACAAAAGATTCGAGACAATATCATCAGTAACGGCTCAATAGGCTCTAGCCCTAATGAATTATTACATCTGCCAAAAGAAAACCTATGCGAACAGAAAAATTGAAGAAATATCAGAAGAACTTCGAGTTCAATTCGAAGGACAAAACGAAGGAGGGGAACAAGAAGATTTTTGCCAACCGAAATGGCCACCTTTTCATAATCGAAAAGGTTGTCAAAATGCTTCTATGATGTCTTTAAAAAAACAGGTCATAGCTCAAAAACTTCAAGTGAGAAGATTTTTGTTTTTTTCATGTACCGTTGGCTTAGAGTGTTCTCTTCAAATGCGAATTCGCTGATCTCTTCATTTTCCACTGTTTAGACGTGGTATCGCATTACCTAGGAGCTTCAACAGTGGTATTGAATGACTATTGAGAACCTCAAAAAGGGATGGATTGCGAGTAATCAGTCATGCTAAATCCTGGAGCAAGTTTATTTTGCAAAGACATTTAAAAGCCTTAGGAAAAATTAGTTTTACAGGAAATATCGATTTTGGAGCAAAATCAAAAAGTTCATATTTCATTCAAAATCGCTCCAAACCATATAAAACTTTTCTAGATAGATACAATTTTATATCCCGACATGAAAACATAAAGCTTAGCTCTAATTTTATACATTCTAGTAAAACTTGGTAAAGAAAAAGTCGGAAGTGCAAGGAAAGCATCGACATTTATAACGAAAATTAATATCGATATAACGACTGCTGATTTTGGACAAAAACTGTCAAAGTATGGTGTATCATTGCTGCAATATAAAGATTCGTTACGGACAATACACGGCGATGGGTCAACTGATGATGACAGAATGGATGTTGGAGATCAAGCTCCATCAAGATTAGAGCTCTCATCAATACCGTCTCCGTCTAGTCATTCACCTCATCCTAATATATCTTCATATGTATTGGACGACGCGTTAACAAAAGCAGCAGTAAAGACACTTCTTCCTCCCCTTGCACCACGCCAACTTTCATCGCAACACGGACAGCAGCAGCGAATATTATCTCAATTAACACAACCGCGCGAATCTTTTCGATCACCAGGAGTGCAACCGATAAGTCGATCCGATTCCCAGCGTCGTACAACAGCTCCAGCTCCAAGAAACGAAAATGCTTTAACAACAGATCAACAAAATAATCGGTCCAAAGGAGGAGCGTCTCCTACATTGGGATCTTATAAAACATCAAGCACACGAAAATAAACAAAAAAAACACATTCTTTTACTCATTTTTATGTTGAAAACTCTCATTTACTCATTTGATACTCCATATGAAATAGGATTATACCAAAAATAATCAAAAACGGTTAGTTTTAATATTTCTGACACATTTAGAATAAAAACTTATATCTTACCATCCTGACATTCAATGTGATAAAAAGGAAATATTATTACCGTAAGACTTTTGACTTTACGTAAATTGTTTTCATTTATGAAAAATTGCACGAGTGGCACAGCTTTTTTGCGTACCAGTTGCTCAATCGATGTTTGAGTTTTTGACTCAGGATTTTACCATAGGTAGAGGCAACATATACAGGAAGATTCCCAAAATTTTTTCGTTCGGACTTACTTCGTTAAAAAGTTATAGAGCTTTTCGTAAAAGCCCTAAAAA